GTACATAAGAAAATAAATATCAAAGTCAATGGTTCTCGAACATCTGTAACATACAAAGGATTAGTAACAAGAGTGGGGACACAACAGTATGCACAATAAATAAATTAATAATATGCACAGTAAATAAATCACAGTATAGAAATCACAGTAAATAAATCACAGTACATAAGAAGATAAGATAGGTCTATTCTATACCTAGTCGGTGCATGTACCTCATAAACATCGCAGTATTTTAAATTTCGCTCTCTCGTGAGGTACAGCAGTGTTGCCAACTACTTTCCTAGATATTTTAAAACACGTAACAATTATTATTAATATTTGATGCTAAACGTTATGATGTTAATTACAGATAAGACGTTAGCTACTCTTTTAGAAAGAAATTAGTAATATGTTTATAATTATATAAACAATTAACATGAACATCTTGAAGTCGTCTCGCTTAGGTCGTGTTTCGTTCGTTACCAGACTTTTAGAGGACGCTAGTAAGACGTATTGAGTTGTACATATTTTGGTCATTAGCTGACCTTTAGAAGACGTTTCTAAGACGTTGGTATGATGCTTTATTAACAAAAGAATTTTGATAACTCGGAAAGTTATATATTTTCCAACCTCTACAGATTCAAAGAAAACCTCAGTTAAAGAATTAGGTAAGTTATTTCAGCTATTTTGTAATTTTTCAAAGCGACCTAACCTATATGTCAGAAGCTCTCTACCGATGCTTCGATTTTAAATAAGAACTGTATTCTTCGGAGATTCTGGGGCAAGTGACGTGCGGTCTAATACAGTTCTTTTACCAGAAGGCACCCCTGCCTTGCCCAGTCCATGCCCAGATTCTCCAGAATTTCCTCTTTAACTTTCTCTTATCTGTTTCTCATAAGCGAACCTACGACAGCCGATAACTGAAGGACTCAACACAGGCCTCTGCTGTCACATGACATCAGAGCAGTTTAGTCTCACATCTGTCCTTCCAGGACCGCACACAGTCTAAGTCCCTATCATAAATCCTTCTATGGCAAGATAACGCTAGGCAAACTGCCTTCGATTTCATGCTGAATACTTTAACGCTAACATGTAAGTTGTGTATGCCCTGTATAATTATTAACTTCATGTTGGAGACACACCTCTACAGATTTCTTTAGATAAAACTTCAATTTTTTATTAATACTCCAGCTTGCCTCATAATTAAAACAGTTGTGTTTCCTATGAAATGGATGAAACAAATTTTGTAAGCCTATAATACCCTATAATTACACTTCTTTGCGTTACGATACTAATGTTCAAGTATTATTGGGAATATGTACAATTCTAATCAAATTCAAGAAATGAAAGTGAAAATGTAATTTCTACTAAAAATGTTCATACTTCAAAAAACGTACAAAAAAGAATTGACCAATAATTCAATAAAACTAGTAACTCAAGATTACAATAATAAAAATATTCTAACTTTGTTAGCTGAGTGGGCTATGAAACATTTCTCATTGTGTAACAAGTCATTTGCTATTGTTCTATAAACAAAACAGCATCGTCAAACTAATATTCATATTGATGGCTTGCCATTGTCTAAACGTTGTAACAGTCAAGGCTGTCCTATAGTACACAGTATTACTTATGGATTATAAAACTACTTCTTTGAGTGATTTTGTGAAAGATGCCTTAGATGTTATTAATAATGGACTTGTACTGAATAAATAAATACATCACATATAAGTACAATCAGCAAAATGCGATGCCCAGCAAAATAATTTATCAAACGTACAAAGGAGCACACAGAATATTTTCTTTATAGCAGATAGTGTATTTAGGTTGACTACATTAGTAGTAGTAATAGTTTCTTCATATGTATGAAGATGTACCTAGGGACAGACTCTGAACTTAGATCAAAGGTGGAAAAAATTGTATTGGTATATTAATTTTAGAAAATATTGCTAAAACTGACATTATTGACTTCTTTCCTTTAGATTGTATGCATCTGGGTACATTTAGGTGTGGTAAAAAATACTTGTTAATATGTGGTGTTGTAGACAAAATTATAAGCTTGCTATTGCTTCACTCCGATTAGTTCTCGTGAATATAAATTTTTGTACATTATGTTTAAAATAATTGGTAATTAATTTTATACTGTTCTTCTATTTTGTACTTCCTGAATTTAAAAAGAGGTACTGCAACTTCATGCCTAATTTTCTTCAAATTCAGAGTATAAAAACGATAATGGAAGAAGAAACATGGACTATAGCCAAATTTACCGATAATGATAGTGTAGAGGCAGTACCAACTAATTGGCTGCATTGTAATATGTGTTACTGGCCAATGTTACCAAAAAATCAATTACTTAGTGCTATAAAAAACCATGAACCACCAAATACAAGTTGGCCAAGTTATGAAGTAAGTGTCTTCAGATATGCGACTTATGGTAAGTTGTAATTAAGTATAAAGAATAAATATGCAACTTGACAGAATTACTTATTATTTAAGCATATCTTTCAGATAACTATGGAAAAGCACAAGCTAAGGCCAGAGTGGTTGAAGACAGAAGTGATCTGCAAACAGACACTGATGGAAACACAAAACGGAAACGAATTGAAACAGGGGTTCGTAGCGATGAGGAATCACTGAATGATAATACGTTGCTTATAATCCCAAAAATAGAGACTTTGACAAACTCAGGTATGTACAAAATACCAGAAATATTTGAAGCATAGTATTAGCATAGTAATAGGACTGTTTGTACTTTCGTAGATAACAATATTTCAGTAGACAACCATTATTCGGAGTTGAGCAGTCTTAGCGATATAGAGGACAATGTCAAAAATAATGCAGCAGGTAATAAAATATAATAAATTAACATATGTTGATAAAGAAAGTTTGTAAAAATGAACAATTTTGTATTTTAAAAATATTAAGAGGAATATATGCATATACAATTTGCAGAAAGTGGTCCAACAAGTTCTACCTGCAATGACTGCAAAGAAACAAAGAAATCTCTGAAACTAATTACTAATCAAAACCATGAGATGCTAACAATGATATCTAAGGTTTTGAGTGAAGTAATAACAATAAAAAATATAACAAAGAAAGAATATAATAAAACAGCAGTACCAAAAAAATCAATTCTTTCAGACTTCACTACATTGAAGTTTCCCTTAAATTCGGAAGAGGATATTCATAATTTCGAACATATTTTAAGTAACCAAGAGAACTTCGAAAGCGGGGCAAGTAAAATATCAATATCCATATAATGTGTTTTAATTAGATGTCGTTAGTTTAACTTTTAATATATTGTTACAACAGTGTCACTGTTTAATAAGTTATCGTATTTTCACTTTTTTCATAAAGAGTTAGTACAGGGTTTCTCAAACTTTTTCTGCAATGGAACACTTCGCGAACCCGGAAATTTTAACGGAACACTTAGCTTATTTTTTAGGTTGAAAAATGTTATTAAAACATATTATTTATTTGGTAATTATTTTTAAATATAAAACTATAATATAATATAAACATAAAAATATGAATAAATAAAGCACTTAATGACTGATGATAAAACCTTTCCAAATTGTCGCGGAACACCTATTCAGGTTCAGCGGAACACAGTTTGGGAAACCCTGAGTTAGTAGATGTCATAATGGGACACATTGGACAATGCAGTCGTCGTAATGTAAAAATAATTTTTACATTTTAGGTTAACGAATTGGTAAATATCGGTGGGCACAATAATTACAATTTTGTAAAACGTCTTCTATCGTTACTATTATCGGATGATTTAGCCATGAAGTATAGTTGGCTTGGAAGAAAAGGGAAATCCGCTTTTTGTAATCTAACTATAGCTTATTTAATAATATGTAAGTATCAGTTTTATTCTTCTTTTTATAATGTAGATTATTAAGTGATCGAGTGTTGTATGATTGAAATGTTTCTTTAAGGTGCTGTGGAAAAAGGAAAAATGGCAAAGAGTCGGAAAGAAACAGAAACGTCTATACAAGTTTGGCTGAAACGAGCTCCTGACAGGAAGAAAAATATATCCAAGAATTTAAGATAAAATAAAGTCAATTATGTAAAATTGAATCTGATTTTGCTAATCTTCCATCATTTCTATCTGAATACGGATGAAAATTACAAGGGAACTTTTACAATTCAAAGATTCCTGCCCATTATTGTGTTATAAAACGATTTCTTCATAATTAATGTTTAAGGAGAATCTCAAACATTGAATAAAATACTGATTTAATGTATGTGTTACAGTATAATGTCTCAAACTTTAAATGAGTTTGCCTTTATTCCTTTGTCCCTACTATCACCTTATTCTTTTATTACTACCTATCTCTGTTTTACCCTAATAAATTTTGATTCTTATATTCGCAAAGCAATAGGCAAGAAACGTAGATGTTATAAAACTTATAGTCATATTACAAGGAAACCAAGAAGAAATTTGTAGTCCTTACATTACGATACACATTCATATCAAGATTTCTCGAATAGATAGAGCTTTGTCTGAAAATGTTATGCTTCAACCCCTTGACTTATGATGATTTTCTTGACGTCTGCAATCTCCGGGAATACATTGTTACCGATAGTTGCTCAAAAATAAAAGGAATTCTGTATGTATCGTAACTGTACTTTTACTGTAAAAGGTAAATATTAATACCAGCAACGTCGTAGTTCAGGTCGACTCAAAGAAAACCGAATAATATTCACCTTTGTTGAATCGATTATTAAATCGTCAACACGAGTCTGACTCGATATTATAGGGCAAAGGGTTAATACATACATTTTGTGGTTTGCTGGAGAACATTTACGAAAATAGATTGTATAATACTGTGACACAAACCGTTTCCACCATGGAGTCAGTATTCAATGTTAAAGGTGCTCAATACAAATCAATTTTGAAATGAACATTCGAAACACAATAGGTGATGCCTTCAATGATTGTAATAATATCAATAAACTTTGACATTGTGGCTAACATCCTTAAGTAACGTGCAGATGTTACTGTAAAGATGGTGCAAAGCAAACACGTTCTCCAGGACAGTGTCCTTTTGGAGATTCTCAGACGTCGCACCGATCTCGAGAATAGTGGATCGGTTCAACATTTTTAACTATCAAAAATTGATTCTATAACCCTTAAAGAAACAGAGGACCCCTGAGAAGCACCCTTAACGAATCAATTAGGTCGAACCGGTTTTCCTCCATAACCTCTCTATTTGAAAATATTTTTTATAAAATATTTCTATACATACTCGGTGAATTTTATCCAATTTTATCGACTAATCAGGGTTAATGCAATGCAACAAAGTTCATCACTTCAGACATAGCTCTTTCACAGCTTCTACAAGGTAAGTAGACATCTACTGTACCGACATGTCATTCTTTTTGCTGGTGACTGTACCGTTTCGTGTAAGGCTGCCCTACATAAGCCCGGGATATGCGGATTGCCGTCATTCGGAGATATTTTTAAACGCTTCTAACTAACAAATGAAGCAATTACCGCAATTTCATTGCTCTTTTTTTTCGTCTCATTTTATCATGTAGAATCAACCTTTCAAATTTCCTGTTGCCGAATATTTTGTATAGAGTCGAAATGTTAGTGCAAGTAGAATGTTAATGATTGTTTATGTAAAAATAAATTAAAATTGCAGAATAAAAGTTTTTTCGTTGGTAACTTAGTTTTCGGTAAGTTCGAGACTGAAAGTTTCTTCGACATGTACGTATTTGTGCTTATAATAAGTGGAAACGGTGACTAATGAACAGGCACAGTCACGTTCTGTTTAATTACACGCGTATATCCAAGAAATTTTGGCGTGTTAATATCCCATTTCTGTGATCGTAATTGTATCAGCTTTGTACAAAATTAACTTTTAAAAAAACCACTTTTTGTACAAAAATGAAAATATTATCTTTCAGAAATCGTTAATTTTCTACTTTCTACTGTAAATAGTTACTATGCTTTTTAAAAATAAAAACTAAAAATCAAGAGTTTCCAATACATTCAATTAAAATAGAAATAAACCAAAATCAAATTTTACGAAAAGATGTTTCCTTCGACTAACAATTCTTCTGCAAAATAGCCACAAATCTACATTTCGAAGGCCTTGAAAGCAAGTTTCTGTGTTACGAAAGTATTGTGGGAAGGAAAAATGAAGGATTGCAGGTTTCTGAATTTAGCATCTCTAAGAATTCGTAATTTTTCACCACTAATCACTTACTTTTTTACTGCAATTTCGAATAAGCAAGACACAAAGAGGTTCCACCAAGGTATATCTCAATTCCAGAAAAAGTACAGTGCACCGTGCAATAAAAATTTCACAATTTTATGAAAATTCCAATAATTGATTATAAAAGAAAAAAAAACAGATTAAATGACCGTATTGTATAGTCAGGTATGATTTTCTTCGTAAAATCGCATTCTCTGAACATCGACTCTTTCGAAAATCTAACTCGTCAGACACAATTGGCTTTAGATTTGGATTCAGCACACTTTAATCGACAGAATGCATCAAAAACTTGTCAAAAGTGAACGACAATTTTTTCGTTCGCAGACCTGCTGTAGTGACGTATCGATTTGTTTCGATTAATTTCAATTCATTTCGATTAATTTTGATTAATTTCGATTAATTTCGACTAATTTTCTGACAATTAACCGAATGTGACAAGAATTTTTGGGGTGCGCAGGGTGGTTCCGTGGTTGGTTTAAAAAACGAAAAACCCTGAAATTGACATTGGAATCGTAAAAGAGATAAGAATATACACTATTTAATCGTATTTTCGTTGTGAAACAATATGTTCAAGTATAGTTGGTTACACTGTGTATTTATTGTGTGCACCACCCACCTCGTGAGGTCCTATCATATGCAAACGCTTGAATGTCACATTGTAAAAGAACCAAGAGAGTGGGAGAAATACCTGGAGTAATGTCTGGTTTCCAGTGGATTAGTCTCAGTTTGTTACTGAAACCCGTGATGATGGAACTTAATAGGAGTTTAACGAGGAAAGATCACACGATTCGGATTCTCGTTTGTTTAATGCAAATATTGCACCTGACATCGGCCGTCATGTAAGTCACACTTTTCTTATAAAACTGAAAGTTTTTTTCGTTCCAAGTTGAACTTTTTTTTAGCTTTGACAACGCGTTTTGCGCGAACGCAATAGTAACTACGGTTTTATCACGCACCAAATACTCGAACGTGCACGCGGAACAATTTCTTTTATGTATTATTAGACTTTTATTATTATGTATAGAAGACAGATGAGTAATGAGAGATTCAAAATATATTTTTCAATGTTACTTTCTGTTTCTATTTACACAAGTTCCTAAAGATTGCACATTAACTTATCTTTTTATAGTTTGTTATAAATATAATACGTATTAATTAAAATAATGTATTATTTATAAATTTAATTTTATTCCGACAATTTGGATAAATACAGTATAAGCACACATGATAACCTGTTTCCAAATAGAATCTTATGATTCACTGATAAGTAAATTTATAAACACTTGTGTAAACATTAATTTGGAAGTTTAATTGCTGTATCACTGATGTATCCTTCACACGCTTTGTTAATATTTTCGAATATTTCACATTATATTTTATTTACCATATGGGTAGTTAGTACATACACGTAGAACACGATAATATAATAGAAGGAATTATCTTAATTACAATTTTTATCTTGTCTGCAAAGTTTAACTATGACAAACTATGGAACTGTACTACAAGTTATCTCTGATAGTATTTTTCTTTCTGTAAATAAAATATAATGTGTAATGCTTAATAATTCGTGTTTAATTCTTGTATGTTGCACACATTTTAATCTATATAAAATCTGACGATCGCATATATCTTTTATAACACATTTTAGATTATAATATACTATATTACAGTAGTATCAGTTCTCAAATAGAAAAATTAATAAATGCTTTATAGAAGGAGAAAAGAGAATTCCGTTCTCTGTCATGATATACAGTCCAAAAACGATAACTTGTACAAACATCTGTATGTCTGATGCTATAAATTAACGTGTTTAGGTAGATAAGATCAAGATGTTGGAATTAGCATCCTCTTCTTAAGGTTTTACAAATTAAACTTATAAAATCGTACGTTCTGTCCGCGAATTTTATTTAATTACATTGCATTTTTTTCGTATACAATATACTATTTACTATTTTCAACGGTCTATAAAAGTTACGACATAATATTCTCAATTTTATCGGAAAGAATTTATAACAGTTGAAAAAAAACTTAAAAATTAAAAATTTTATAACAATATAAAGATAACAATAAAAAATATATATATATACTTGAGAACATGGGCGTAGCTAGGGGGGGGGGAAGGGGGCGGAAAAAAGCTGCTTTTGTCCCACCCTACAAGAAAAACATTGGATTTTGCCTCCACCCCCGCCGTTCCTAGAGTTACAAATTATTTGCATAATATTTAATATTGCAATATAATTGATTTTATAAACGCATACAATCAACGATTTGTGATTTTAAAAACAAAATAAAGTGTGCCTGGCTACGTACAGCCTTTTTTACTGTGGCAGTCGATGTGGTAATGTTTTTGCCCCCCCCCCTGACTGATACCCTAGCTACACCCATGCTTGAGAATATGTTAAGTAAATTACCAGACACATCGAAACAGCTTCCGTGGATTTAAGGGCACGAAAAATTAGTTTCCTGGAAGTAACAAACTCTTCATTACACATATAGAAATTCGTGTAATATAAAAGTGTGCAAGATGAGTTGATAATTAAAAATTTTCAATAAAGTGTAAAATACAGAATAATATACACGAATAAGTAAACAGAAAATAATAAAATAACTGGTCTAATATAAAATGATCAAGATAGATTATAATCAACTTACTAATAATAATTTACAAGTAAACTATTCCTATAAAAAAACTACAAAACGACCTTTTTCGTATAAACCAATGATTTAGTTACGTTTTCCCAAATTTCTAAAAGTAAATGGAAAATATTGATAAATAACTGAAAATCGTGTTAGAAGATTTTTCACTTACTGATTTGACAACTTTGTTGCCCACGGCCGAATGACGATTGAAGATAACTTGAAAATAATTTTATTTTTAACAAAAATTCTAAATATTTTTTGCTACATATGAGCAGATGATACAACATCTATTTACGATATTTAAGCTAACACAGAACCTGCAGTGTTCTTAATATTTCCTTAAACAAGTGCCATTTCGTTTAATATCCTTATGCACCTGTTATATTGATTAAGAAAACAAAAAAAAAAGACTGTAAACCTTATTCTTACCATTCCTAGAATAATATTGAAAGTAAGCAAAGCAATTGTTTCCGAGCCGCTATTGACAGAGCTTCTCCTCTTTTTCAATTTATTAAACATAATGTGACGAGTCACATGCATTACATTATGTCATCTGCATAGGTACAAAGCAACAATGAACTCTGTTTGGTGGCGTCTGGAATTGTTAATTCAAGGCTTTCCTTTCGACACAACTTCTTCTCCGCGTTATTTGTTGACTTTTTGTGCCGTAGATTTTGTCTGTTTATTCTGTGGTACTCATAGAAAAAACAATAATTGATAATAGTGTACAATTCGGTCGGTACCTCCGATTATCTTTAAACTTTAATATGTTGAAAGGAGCTATCTAAAAAGGCAAAATATCATTTTGAAAAATGTCGCAAACATAAGTATTTTTAATTTCAAGTTAAGTTTGTAACTGAAATCTAACCTAAACGTCACTATAAATGCAGATTAAGTAAAGGAAGACAAGCAGTAAAGAGTAAAAAAGAGAGGTTTAATTGTTTATTTTCAAAGCATTATACTGATCAGAGTTGGTTAGAGCTGGTTTAATAAAAAGAAAATTATCTTCAAAATTGTTTGCAACAATTTTTAAAATGATCTTTTGCCTCTTTGGAGCGCCCCATTCAACTGAAGAAAATCAAAATTACCGACCGAATTGTAAACTAATACTCAATAATTATAAAAAAAAATTTGCAAACGAATTTAAAATTTTCGGGTAATTGGTAATAAAAATTTCAATTGTACGATAATTGTTTACAGATTGGGCAGTTGTCCGACGTTAAGCAGCGATGTTTCCATGACACAAAAGGAACTTTTGCAAGAATTAACGAACGAGTGCCGTTACGATAAAATGGACAGACCTTCCGGCGAGGCGAACGCCACGGATCCGATTAAAGTATACATCCGAGCTTACATCTACACGATTAACTCAAACATGGCAAAAACACTGGTAACTTGAATAATAATTGTTCACGGATAATCCCCGTATATCACGGTGATAACAGGTTCCTAGAAATTGCCTTTTTATGTGAATTCGTGTTATAGGGTGGATGTACCAATAAACGAACACGTACCAGTGAATGTATAGGGTGTCCCATTTAAATCGATCCACTCGAATATCCCCGCAACTATTGACGATATTAAAAAATATTTCACTGAAATATTATCACTGATGTAACTTTTTTTTATGCGCACGTGTAAAGGTCATATGAAGATCAACATTGTTTTTTCAAATGGAATTATAAATTTTTTAATGCACTACTTGATACTACTCGTTATTCCCTACATAATGTACTAAGTCACTTATGGCGAATTGATGCATTAAAAAATATAGGATTCCATTTACAAAAACAAAGTTGATCTTTATACGACCCTTACGTGTGCACATAGAGAAAAAGTTACATCAGAAAGTGCGCCCTCTGGTACCATTTAACTTTCGTCTGAAACATTTTTTAGTATTGTCAATAGTTTCGGAGATATTCGAGTGGATCGAATTAAATGAGATACCCTGTATATAAAAACAAGTAAATGAAGTTACTAAAATAAGCAAATGATTAAATTTTTTTTTTCATTTCTATCGTTCATACGTTCAAACAATTTTTACGCCATTTAGTCTGAAATGTTCATTTACTTGATATTGTTCCTTTTTTCAGACGAGAGAAAGAAATTTTACTCAATTGCGTTAAAATCGTTCATTCGCTGGTGAAATTTTTATTTGTTTGTTTAAATTTAATTGTTTACATTTTTCCAATTTTTTAAATTCAAATCCGTAAGTTATAAAAACGTATAGATGGTAAGAAATCTAATTTTCATGTGCTATATGTTTATTAATATTTATTATCATTTTAAATTCGACATTAATAGTTACAATTAGGATTAAATATCCAAAAACTAATGAAATTATTGTATTCTACACAATCCTTTAATCGTGTTAGATCGAAACCGTGTTGGAGTAATACCGTGTTATTCGGGGGTTTTCACGTTTCTCTAACCGTGTTATAGAAGTACCGTGTTATACGAAGGTTTCCTGTACTTGAACGGTTCATTTGCCAAAGTGATTAACTTCAACAGATTTACATTTAAACTTTATTTTAAATACAAAAACGTACACTTGCTCTGGCGCGAAAATTTGAAAAAATTCAAAAAATGGATTTGGTCATATTGACTTGTGAACGGTTCGTTTGTACTCTGAAATATGTAATATGTAAATTAACACACATGAAAATTGTCTCTTGCTATACGCACATTTTAAAACTGATTCCAGCAATTTGATGTACACATGATGTTGCAATTTAGATACTCGGACAGTAGGCTAAAATTCTCCAATATTGCTCCGTATTTAAACCAAATATACGGTGGACAGTCGGCCCACGATTTAATATGGACGCCATCGGTCTACGTTTCGAATGAACGCAGTTCAGCCATAATGGGGAACAGTGTTAAGGATTTACTTGTCTCTGTAGATCCCACTGGAATGGTTATACTGAACACCAGGTTTGTAATTCCACAATTATCATGGTAACATATTTTTAACGAATCTTTAAGTACGTATACAGGGTGTCCCATTTAAATCGAACCACTCAAATATCTCCGAATCTATTGACGATACTGAAAAATGTTTCAGACAAAAGTTAAATGTTATCAGAGGGTGAACTTTCTGATGTAACTTTTTCTCTACGTGCACACATACTTTTTTATGCAGTATGTGATGCTTTATCCAAATTCGGTAAAAAATATGGGCATTCCATTAAAAAAATTGAAGGTGACCGTTATATCTTGATAAAAATGTAACACAGTAAAAAACGTATTATTGTGTTGTATGTATCCCTTGATGTAACTTTTGTTTAAAATACTATTTCATACAGCCAATAATTAACGAGTAATCGAGGTGGTCACATTATTAGGTGAACCACCCTGCATATCTATGGATGATGCACTAATTCTCGCTCAGTCGTTATAGTCGTTTCCGGTATTGCCGATAAAGTCAGTTTTCATTTATTTTTTGTATTTTGAATTAGAAAATTTATATATATTATATTTTATATATAGAGAGAGCCGGATGCAGATACATGCAGCTGTATCACTAAAATTATTATTTATAAAAAACACTCAATTTTTCTTCATGACATTTTGATCTGTTTTGTATGTAGGTAGCTGTTGAATACCTGAAGAAATCACAGTAAAATATTTCAATCATGTTCCTTTTTCTTAGTTATTTGACATATTATATATCGAAATAGTGATATCGCTATAAATTACTAAATACAAGTTAATAAATATAACGTTAAAAAGATTGAATTCTATTTGAGATTAGTATACTTATGAAACAATAATAAAAGAATATTTTTCTATTCATTTCTTATTCACGTTGAATTACCACAATTATTGCATGCGTAAATTTACTTCATTATAAAGTTTTGACTGGTATATTTATGAAACAAACTGTACCCACGTAAAATAAACCAATTTTAATATTCCCTATAAATTCTTACACTGCGTACTTAGCTTATCTCTCTTTGTTGTTGGTTGCCGGTTCACGTGAGCAGAGAACCGCTACTATAAATATTTACTGCTACCATAAAAAAGGCAGGAACGTAATACTAATTTCGAAACCACTGCATTCTTTTTATCGCACCACCTTCGGTACAGTCTTTCCTTTCTATATCAGTTGTGGGTTTTCAAATATACAGAGCGTTTAGCTACTGGTCTCAGAAACTTTAACGTACGATTGTACATGTAAAAATAAAGCGAAAATCAAGAATGACAAAATTCTATTGAAGGTTTTGTTTTCAAGTTATTAAAAATTAATAATTCGAGCCAGAAACGCCTAAAACCAGGCAATCTACGACAAGTGGTAAGCGTGGGGCGCGACAGTACCGAACGTACACTGGCGGCATTTAAAAAAACACACATTTACCTTATAACTAAAAAATGTGCACTCGAATATCTTCTTGTGACACTTTATGAAAAAAAGTATACACGAATCGTTGCACGACATTGAACTTGGTTATTCGTTCAAATCCACAAGGAATGGCCACAACAACTCGTACACAAAATAAACACTAAATAAACTAATTTAAACTACACTAAAATTCGGTATAGTAAATTAAATTAATACTATAAAAGAACACAGATGCTCTTCTTCGAGTAGATGTGTTCCCCTTGACGACTGCCACCGAACTAAGGAAACATAACTCAAATCCACACAAAGGGCAGAAGAGTAATCAAAAGAATCTATAAACAGTGTATGTAGGTTAGAACTACCTGCTTTTCAAATGATCTGCAGATGTTGGGTTCGTGCCAAGGGTGTTTTTTTTTAATGTTAATGTACGCGTCGGTAATGTAGTGCCCTACGCTTACCGCCTGTGCGCAGGCTGCCCGGTTCCAGGCGTTTGAGAACCGAATTTTTTATCGTTAATAACTTCAAAACAAAGCCTCCAACAGAATTTCGCCATTCTTGATTTTTATTTTATTTTGACATGTAGAATTTTATTGTCAAACTGTCAACACTTTTAGTCATTTCTATTTGACATCACGTTTAAATGGTTTGGGAGCCTCATTATAATCTCGTGTATGGTCTGACGTAGTCAAACGAAATAACAAAACATTTGCTTGGTATTTTCATATAGAATCTTTAAATTTTTAGCAATCACTAAGTGGCTCTGGATGTTTCACAAGATCCTTCCTTCCGGCCCCTATCTGAACTGGTACATACTCCCTGAAATGATATCACTCTAAATAATGAGATTGATGAAACTTTTAACCGACTTAAAATCGTAACGTAATTTTACATTAACTCGAATTAGCCCACCGTCCTGCTATAAGGACGCCTAACAGGTGCCTGATATTTCATTGTTTTTCAAGTTGCACAGTGAAAATCACTTACAAATGACCAAAAAGCATACTAAAAGTTGTGATGATTCTTCATAAAATATCATGGAGGGTATTATATAGAATACAGAAAATCCTCGATGAGTGTTCGAAGGCTCCTTGCAACTGAAAATAAAATATTTCATAAACTAATGGCCACCTGCGGCTGAAAACAAGTATAATTAGTTTCCGAATTCCAAGCTCCATCACTGTGCTGAACCACATTAAAAGTCAACGTTACACTCAAACACTCATCGAGGATTTACTGTAGTTACGAAAATTATATTACGAAAAACATCATTCTTGGCATATCAGGGTTAAATAAGTTGTAAATATTATTTCAGTATCGATTAATGACGGCTTTCGATATAACGACACAGCTTTTCTATTGTTGCAGGTTACAAGTCACTCTTAATTGCGGTCTCCGGTTGGAAAAGTTTCCGTTCGACGTGCAGGAATGTCCGCTAATATTCGAAAGCTGTAGGATGCTCATTGTTCTTCTGTTACTACAATGTCAGCTAATTTAGTCTACTGTGTTCCTATGGAATGAATGGAATTTTTACCTGCAGGGACGTACAATGTGCATGACATGGTGCTGTTATGGGACCAAGAACCAATAATACTAGCAGATGAATTGCACTTAACTGAATACAAGCTAGTCGACAAATGGGTGAACACGTCGGAGGTGTTTTACACCACGTCCCAGCAGCATTACGGTCATTTTGGCACGTACAATTTTCTGTACATTAACGAACCCCATTTATTGTCCGTTATAAATTATTTATAACACTTACAGCGGGTAACTTCAGTTCAATTAGCATCACGTTCAAGCTTGCCCGTGAAATGGGATTCTTCATGATGGACTACTATATACCGTCTATATTGATAGTCGTTATCTCTTGGGTATCCTTCTGGTTGCATATGGACGCGAGTCCGCCACGAATTGTTCTGGGTAACAAACTCTTGAGAACGGTGTTGGGCAAATTTCAAACTTAACGACGAATAACTAACGAAACCATGTTTTTGTTCTTCGACGAATAATAAATAATTTATTTTGTTCGTGAATAAATTTCCTCGTACGAATTAAGTTGTTTTCGATCGTTCATTATTACAATAAACTTTTGACGTATGAAAAATGGGAGAAACGTACAGTTGTTATATTTACTTAATAAATAATCACTTTTTTTCTTATAATAAATTCATAAATTTATAAATTTTCAATATTAAATCAATAATAAATTTATTATAAGCAAGAAAAATTATTTATTTATTAAGTAAATATAATAAATGTTTACCCATTATGTATACACCAAAAATTTATTCGAATAATGATTGATCGAATAAAACGTAATTTGTACGAGGACATTTATTTACGAACGGAATAAATTGTTTATTACTGTTAAGTAACCAAAACATGGATTTAATGAATTTATTGTAAGAAAAAAAATATATTTATTATATTGCAATACCGATTTTACATAATGTTCGTTATATTTTGCACATGCTTGAAACAATAACATATCAAATGGATAGTGTTCTTATGATGGAATACTTTTCCAAACACTATATATGTATAATGTAAAAATACAAAAAAAAAACAAAATTCCTTTTCGAGGGACAAACGTGAATAATAAACAATGAATAACGAATAATAGATCAAAAACGGGAATAAAAAAAACTATCTATTCGTTGTTTTTATTTCAATAAAAGTTTATACGAAATATGCCCAACACTGTTTGCGAAACAGAAGGAAATAAAATGATTGAAGAAGTACTAAATGTAATACATATTTTTCAGGAACAAATACTATTTTAACATTTATGACTCTCGCGTCGAAGGTGGCGAATTCATTGCCGAAAGTTTCGTACATAAAAGCCAGTGAAATCTGGTTCTTAGGCTGCACTATATTTCTATTCGCAGCGATGGTGGAGTTCGCTTTTGTCAATACGATCTACAGACGAAAGTACGAGGACTAGAAGCTCGCTACGATTTTCCACACGAGCTGTTTATTTGCTAACATGATTAAGTCCACAAGAATTATCATGGAAATTTATTTTAACGCTCGGTTGTCACACCTATTTTTTCAAACGTAATTGTCACAATGATTCATTCTACCAAAGTCAATTTGTTAAATTAAGTCGGATAAATTCTGAGATAAAGTATGGATATTGTAGAAAATATTTTCTTCGTAAAAAATTCACATTTAAATTTTAAATACTTAACCTTATCTATCGACGTAACCTATTTATTTTTACAGTAATTTAAATTGTGAAGTGTCGTCATGTTTACAAAAATTCGTGAATAAAAGGATTTCCGTAAAACACGTTGTTTCTAAGGTATCTGAAACTATATGATGTTAGTAGTTCCATTTTCAATAACGCCTCCAAGATATTTTATTTCCAAGTCAAAATTCGGGTAATTTCGATCCAGTGTGATAACTGAGGGTTAAACATGATTACGACTACTGTGAGAAAACGAAGTAAATTAAAAGGTTACCAATGTAAGGAACCAATAGTAATGGATTATACACGGTGTAACAAAAATGCTGGAGTACCCAGAAATGGGTGACTCGAGAGATGATTTGAAACAAGTTTTTCCTTAGCAAAAATGTTATCAGAGGCTTTGTTAACAAGATAATAACGAAAAACCCCGACCCATCAGAGCGGGAACTCGGCTGGCAGACTCCCGCTCTGATTGGTCAGGGTTTTTCATTACTATCTCGTTAACAGAGCCTCGGATAACATTTTTGTTAAGTATAAACTTGTTTCAAATCACCTCACGAGTCTCCCATTTCCGGGTCCTCCAACATTTTTGTTACACTCTGCATAATGATACCAATCAAGTGCTTTGGCGCTAAAATGTGAAAAAATTCAATAACCGGAGTTAGTCACTTCGGCTGGTGAACGGCTCGTATTAAGCCGAAATGTACGATCGTTGATATTTTATGTGTTTATGCAGGAAGAATGTGCCGTTAAAGAAAGTGAACAGTAAATACATCTTGAAATCAACGTTGACGCCAAAACTGGCACGGAAACAGTTCCAAAAGAATGCTACGGGTTTGGAACGATCGCGTTCTTGGTCGTCGCTTGACAAGGCGAACAGCGTCGAACAAGATTACACGAGTCAAAATTACCTCACCGTACACGTGAGTTGTCGTTTAATTCGATAATATCGTACTAGGTGTACCAATAAGTAATCCACTATATTTTATTAAAATTCAAAATCGAAATTCTGTGTGTCGTTTCAGAAATACATATTTGGTCTCGTTTTGTCGATGTTCGACGCCATTTTGAAAGAAGTAAAGGGTAGGATATTTTAAATGGAAACCTTTATTACTGGTATAATAAAAAGAAATTATGGATTACGAATTGATACAGCTGATATTCAGCATTTCTGACAAATGTAAATTAATTTCGAAATGTTCCTTACGACTGACGGTTTTCTTTTTGTTACAGAGTTTTCCAAGTAATCTAAACATTCCTTCCGTGAAAATCGACGACGAGAAGGACCAAAAATGTTCTGTAGAAAGCATCATGAGTGTGGACATCACATCATCATCGAAACCATTCTCCAGAAGAGCAACTCTAGCCCAGTTACATAATTTTACAACAATGACACCGCAAGAAATTGCACAATGGATCGACAGACGTAGCAGAATTGTATTCCCTGTTGCTTTCATCATATTCAACATCTTTTATTGGTCCTTTATCTGGATATAACTTGTACGCTTTTTGTATTATCAACATAAAATACCGAATTGAGGAATCTTTTGTTACCTTCTAATAATGTTGAACTATAATCGGCATATTGGGTGTGTGAACGAGTTGAGTACCGATTTGATGCTTCTGTAAGCACTAATAGTGTAAGTGAATTTTTTATGAATTTTAGTTGACACCATAGGAAGATAGCTCTAACTTCGTTCCATTTTGTGCATAAATGTATATGTGTATGTATAGCTTTACTAATAACACAACAGTATTGAATGTACCATCTAAAAGTTGATATACTAAACCTTTGAGTATCTCAAATGCATATTTATTGACTTATCCCACTAATGCTTTCAATGGCTCATTTGAGTAGTTGTATATATCATATCATATTTATTTATATATATGCAAATCGAGCAACCTGTCTTGACAGCTTTTCCATTAAATATAAAGATCAAATGTGAGTAAATATTAACGAAAGCAACGGATTCTTCTAACAATATACTGAAAATGAATTTTTAAAATGCATACTTTATTAACTATGTATGCGTTATAAAATTTTCTAACCGTGTGGCAGCCAGGTTTAGAGTGATCATTCAGAAAAAAACTGTAAATTCTTTAAATATGTTTGTTAAAAGACTGTTTACATATATCAGTTCGTCGTTTAAAAACGCACTATTTTGTCATTAAATTTCTTTGTCTAACATTAATTGTTCTCGAGGTATTGGACAAAACATGTTTTACATCCGCCAACTTTGAACGCTATTTTCACAGCTTGAACATCATTTGCCAATAAAAAAATTACGTTCGCACAATTAATTTAAAAATCAAAACAGTTGAAGTGTATATATGTATATCACTACATTCGTAAAATATTAAAAATTTGTTCACAATAACAAGTTATATTTATTTTCATATATTACATAAATACAATTGTTCTAAAATAATATATGGCAAACAAAATCGAAATTTTCATCGAAAATTTTGTAAAATATATAAAATATTTCATCAAATATTGTTTAATGAAATACGTGTGTATAAAGTGATGTGTATATTAGTACTCAAGTACAGTAACATTTCAATGGAATGTATTTTTTTATATCACAACTATTTCATGCCTACCTAATAGAAATACAGTAAATATAAACATTATTATCACCATATTTCAACAATACATAATTACAAAAATAATAAGTGTAATATTTCTGTTTGTACAACGAAGTTACAATTTATACACTTATACACCATATTCTGTTGAAATGTAAAAATATTAGACCTGGGAAAAATCATGTGGTGTCGAGAATACTTTTCGCGATGACGATCTTACTGAGTCTCCGTATACTTTGTTTATTGTTAGTACTTATTTGTTCCTAATAATTTAGTATGTCATTTCACACGAGGCAATTGTTTTATATGTAAACGAACAGCATACCACGCCAATGAGAAGTCATTATTCTGATCAATTAGACCGACAATTCTTCCAGGCCCAAGTTTTTCAAATTCCATCAATTATTGTTAATAGTTGAAAAGTAGCAAATTATAAACATGCAGGTGCATAATATTTGCGCGTTTGTTCAGAAAAAATAGAAATATCATTAAACATTTGTGCCTATGTTTCTTATACAATGTACGAAAATAATGTAACAGCATAAATGCAAAGCGACGCCGTATATCTGAACCAAATATTGTTCAATACCTACTGAGCTGAAGTTTCATTATAAAAATAATTATCACCGATACCCTTTAATTACCTGAACCATATTATCAATTGGCAGACTGAGATAAATCAAGTCTTATTGTAAAAGTCCACAGAAGTATTCCAGTGCTTGCATTTAGAATCTGCAGTACAGAATCTGTGCAAAATTCCTGACATTTTCAAAACATCATGGCTATAATGAGCTCTTTTTAAATCATAAAGCTACTCACATTATATATTATTGTTACTCTATCAGTTTTCTCTCTATTTTGTTAATACTGATCAAATTATCTTCTTTTACATTCAATTTACAAAATTTACAAATTTTTAAGTGACTTTGCAGCTTAAATAAAAACAAAATTGAGTTACAGCACTCAGTAAACAACATAAATGTTGTCAACGTTGATAGTAAAGAGTAGTTACTAGACTGCAAATGTTTATGCATTTATAGCACTCATTAACTTAGAAAATGCAATAAATAAAGATTTTCATTATTAACTGCGTTACTGTTAACTAAGCGTTTATAGTACAGAATTTAAAACTCTGTCCCATTTGAATTTTTAAATACTCGTATTTAAAACTGTAAATTTCCATAAACTTCCGTCGTCTAGTAATCTCTTTTGCGACTATGATGTTCATGCTAATTCACTAATATTCATAATTTCTTTTCATAATTTTCATTCACTCCGGTTTAAAAATAATACTTTATAATAACCTTAAAACTTATACAATACACCAGAATTATTTAGCCATAACAATAATTTTTTCCAATACACCATATTGTTTGCATTAAAAGCATCCAGATACTTCTGTAACTTAATTCATAAAAATTTTATATGTTGTGTGCTAATCGAATAATTGCTAGCAGGATAAAATCCAAAATTAGATCTCAGTTGTTCCAAAAAGACAAAAGTGAGAATTGTCTGTGGTGCTAATCTGATAAATGCAGGTACATAACCCTAGAATAAAACATTTACTAAATGAATAAAGTAAAATATTTTTTATGGTTTAATGGCACGTTTATAATGAAAAGATCATAATTTGTATAAACAGAATTCGACGAAATTTAACAAAACTCACTTTCAATTTCTTACCAACTATTTAAACTTTTTATTTTCACAAGTTAAAACTTGAGCGATTTTATGTATTTTTGTTTCTTTTTCCTACAATACATAGTTAGTAAAAAACCGTTGTATAAATCATATTCGCTGTAATGAATTATAACTTAATATTATGAAAAAATTATTGCGATTAGTCCTATTTCTATAAGTAATATCTCACCAATTAAACGGTAAAATATTCATAAAGATACAATAAAAAATAAAGAGATTTTTATATTACATTAGTAGTTGACATACATACACATATATTCTGCGGCTCTGCTTTGAAGTTCCCGGTACCGAATATAGCTGTACGACGGGTTATCGATAAATCGATATGTATGAAGGGGTTGTTAAATTTCCGAACTTATGGGGGTGAAATATTTGAATTTTGTGAAGTATTACTGTATTCAGAAAATTACAAAGCATTAACTTGTTTCATATCTGAATTCACGTGTAAATAATTATAAAAAATATAGATATAAAAGTAATAATTATTATAAAGGATGCACAAATATATAAAATATGAAGTAGATTGAATTATAAATTTTAAAATATATTAAGTTTTGTTGAAAGTTTCTTTTATTACTATATTCTATTAAAATAAGAATTTATCTATTCATTCACAACCTAAATCTTACATAGTGCATTTCTAATAAGAGAACGAGTGAAGACTACAAAAACATGATCCAATCATGAAATATCATGATATAATGAAGTTCTTATTTTAACCAATGACTTAAGTGATTCGGGTGGACTGTACAACTATTTTGACCATAGGTGTATCTTCATATAAAGTTATGTGCACAGAATGCACGATCATATTTCATTATACAGTATTGCTAATATGTAGAGAAAACTGCATAAAATTAATCAGACGCATAACTTGTTACTGAGCAAAAGTACAACAATGAAATTTTTATCATGATTCACTAATTTGCATGGATGTATCATTTTATAAGATAAATTCATTTACGTTGGATTAGTCTTTTAGAAATACTACTAAAAAATAGTCCATGTACTAGGTACTGTCGTATCAACTTGTAAAATAAAAAGGAGTGATAATACACTGGAGTCAGTTTAAGCTAGTAAAATAAAACATATATTATAGTACCATAAGTTTCTACCTAAATTATTGCCACTAAAAAGTAAGTATCAACCTTCTACTTGTGTTCTTATTTACTGGCTTTACATTCTAATAATTATGCTGAAAATGCGTTTGCATAAACTATGATCTTTTCATATTACCTTGTACACATTTGGATTCAATATTCTTGACAAATATATCTGAGCAGAATAAAAAAAATTATTCTCGAAATGGTCAAGTACAGCCATAAATTTTATAGAATATCTTGTTACTTATCATTTCATTGCATTGTGAAAGTAATAAAATATAACAGTAAATGGAGACTACACTTCTACAAAGCTACTACAATGACTGCACAGAATATTTTTTGATTATTCAAACAGTTCTAATACAATGTTGTGAAATACTGTATCCAAATGCACACTAACAATAAGTCTAACTACATAGTGAAATATGAATAAATATAATAATTAAACTTACTTTGAAAAATGCTATTGGTCCAAGCTTCGCAGTGTACAAAAATAATTCCATGAAGTCCTATAAAAAGATTGTATGTATGTATTATTGTTTTCAAATTCAAGTATATGTACTAAATTACCTTATATTCTCCTGGTTTAGCATTCATTGCACGTGTTTTTAATACATCTAATGGCTGTGTAAGAGTTGTGGCTATAGCACCCTGAGATTTAAACAAACATTTTATTAACACATAGCAATTACATAGAGCACCTTACAAGAAAATATGTTTAAATGTAACTAATATTATAATATTACAATTTTGCATGAAATTACATAAAGACATAAAATAAAGCGTTATAGTAGTGGTGTAGTATGATCATTTCAAGCATATTTTCAAGCTTCAAAAATGTAGAAGTTATTTTTATTCAGTAATTCTGTATATTTCAGAATTTTTTATCATTTACATGTACTTACTGCAGATACACTTGATAACACATGCGTAAGAGGGTTATCAATAAAGTAACCACTCTGCAGCAACATAATTTTTATTTGATCATAGAAACTCAGTTGTCCAATAGTCATCAACACAGCCCTTAATGTTGCAGTGGAACAACCACTGAACAAATTACGTACACCTTCTTGACTAATTATGTGTACTACACCATCTAGGGCATGTTTATAGCTGAAATGATAATTTAATATTAATTGAAGCGAACAAAAGTAAATCTATGTAACAAAATCTATATATTCGTACTTCCGCCTTAATTCTGGTGACAGTTTTATATCATTTTGCATGCGTACATTAACTACATCCCCTGGTGTTCCAACGATACCTCCAACAGCACCAGAACAGGCAGCTAATAGTAACTTTTGATAAAATGGTAACGGATGTCCAGGTGTTTCAAATGTTTGTTTACCTACCTGCATAAATTGCATTTGCAAAATAAACAATGCAAATGAGATTTTTCTTAAATTTATAAATCATTCAAACGAAAACTACAAATGAGTTTATATCTAAAATAAATTGATTTACTTCATATGCTCCAAATCTCACAGTAGAATACGTAAGTTGCCGAAGCAAAGAGGCACTGAGGCCATTGTATAGAGCTAAAATTCCATGTTTCTGTATTATAGAGGTTGTTAATCGTATTACAGATATTTTCCCTTCTTGTTGTGTCTGCAAATGAACCTGCAAATTTATTTTTAATACCTTTAGACACTCTGTTTACTTTTAATCATTCAAAATTTTATGTATATATTACTAAAATACATTATAAATAAAAACATTAATAGTAATTAATATGTATTTAATGATAAAATACCTTTATCAAATCCAAAGGATGTGTAACACAAGCTGCACCCGCAGAAGAAAGCCCACCAAAATACCAACGTGATAATTTTTTAGTTTTATCTGCCATTTTTTCATGCTCCGTATCTTCACAATGTAAATGAAAAAAGGTATACTTAGAAACTAGTTATACATAAAATTTATGTAGTATAAATATACAAAAACTTTAAAATATGAATTATTAAACTTACCTATCTCGTTGAATGTATGAATTATTATCAATGATTAATTTAAAACTAAAACTTGAACTCATATAGAAATACTGATTTATACTTATCACAAAATAATTGATGCAACTATATGTACATGTCTTTAACATATGTATTCAATCATGATTCAACAATAATTAATTTCCTTGCCTTTTACTTAAACAATATATACAATGCACAGATATGTGAGTAAGATTATGTAAGTACACCATATTGACTATAATAAATTGTAAAATTAATATACCAATCACGTAGGAAATCATATAATAAAACATAATTTGAATGAATTATTTGCTTTTTATTTCAATAAAAAAAGTTTCGAGTGATCATAAAAACATTCTAAATACAATTTCACCATAATTAATAAGAAACATATATTGACGTTTCCAAAATAAATAATGCACGAATATAAATATGCAATGAACAATTGAACTTACGGTACTTTACAGATACAATAGAATATAAGGGTCATCGTTGGTCAGTAAGCACAATTATAAAAAGCTTCATTTCCAGCTGATGAAAGACACATGATTTAACTGGGTCTGGAAACCACGAACGCGCACGCATCAGCTGATAGCCACGTGTAATATCACCTCTTCCCACCGAGGCTAAAACTGCTATTGACATATGTACTTGGTCTTGCAAATGATTGCATTTATTCTGGAGTTTTTTGCGAATTAGCAATGCCATGTAAAGGTCACGTTAAAATTATGACGAACATCGCCTATTAAGGTCATTCCCGTTATTAATAAACATTTTCAAAACAGATACTTGTTAAACGTAAGTCATAAAAAGTCGTATTTCCGATATACGTACACACAATCCAGTCGTACTTACAGCATTTTTCTAAATTGACATTCTATTATTTTTTTAAACTAAAATAACCTTCAAAACTTAAAAATAATATATTAAGTGTATACATACAACACAATTACATTTTTTTAATATGTTCAGGGTGAATAAAAATATATCGTTGTTTCTTTGTATTAATATAATAACAAATGTAAATTACTACCTCCACTTTTCATGCATGTTCAAAAAAGCGTATCCAAACAGAGTTTTATTCCTTGTTTTCGGCATTTTATTGTAACACTAGCTTAAACTACAATTATTTATATTCCCAAAAATAATTTGGAAGATAGACCGGCTCTACATTGGATATTAAAGGATCATACGGAAATACTGATAATTTTTTAAAACAGAAAACAATCGACTCTACTGTTTGTAAAAACTTTATTAAAACAAGTAATATATTTCAATTTTCAGTTGAAACAAACTCAACCTTATTTATTTAGGTACAGATATTCTTAAATAAGTATAATGCGTTCATATTTCATTAACAGTAACTTAGTTTTATTGGTTTCTAAATTAAGTTTACTACAACTTTTATTGTGCAGATTTGTTTCATGAAATTACTAATAACCATAACTTTTAACTTCATGTTTATAATTCTCGAATTGCCCCGCCGACTCTGTAAAACCTTTGAACGCAATATAACCTAATTTTCTATTCAAGCACACTTCCCACGCATATATTCTATAAAGCGGATAAGTTTCATGGAACTTCTTCCATTTAAATGTTCGAACAACCACTCTTGTATAAAAATTTTTCTTTTTCTCTCAATTATAAAGAATCTCCCTATTATGTGTTAAAAGTTTCGGAAACTACATGGAACTCTACAGGTAAATTTGTTTTTGCAACAAAATACATTCGAAGCATTAACCTTATACCCTAAAAGTTTATCGAATATTCTGTAGACAATACATAGTAATCGGTTATATATGTATTACTTATCTTTTATGTACCCTTCTTCCAGGAACTATCTAAAATTGATACCGAATCAGCTGATCTCCAACGCAACTTCTTTAACTGTGAATGACGTTATACGCACATCTGTGGAGACTACAGTCTACAGTGTAGATCACGTGGGATAATTAAATTGCCTTTCTTCGGAATCATTCAAGAAGGTCTTTTAAGCAATAGACAGGTTCCCATGCACATAATCTAAAGCGTAATGGACAGTAATATGCCGGGGGATATTAAAGTTAAATAAATAATAGCATATTTAAAATTTTTAATCATATGGAGCATATTATTTTATTCCAATAAAGTCTGAAATTAGATAACTGCAGGAGCTATTATAATCGAACGGGATTTTTAGCAGTATGGGTTGTAAAAACATATATGATTATACATTTCAAAATGTGAAAAGTTCGCTATGGTGATACGTCACCTTCAATTCTTTCAAAATTCTTATCGTACCGCATTAGTTTTTATACACGACTACTTGTATTTTTAATCCTTTAACATGAATATTTTCTCATGTACTACATAATACATGAATTATTATCGCTATCTTTGTTGGTACTATTACTACTACTACTACTACTACTACCAGTAATTATCGTCACCACTGCTGTTAGTAGACGTTTACACCGACCGTTCCGCTAAATTTTATATCGCTTCGTCTACCTAAATATCTATAATCCCTTTAATCTCGATAATATTTTCAATTTCTGCATGCGTATGTTTAACGGCCTTACTACAATTCTCAGGAGTTACGTCATCAATGTCTGATTGGACTAATCTTTCAACTTCGGTTAAATTAAACCGTAGCACCCTACCCTACATGTTGTGCAGCCTTAAGCTGCATCTACACTATATAACATAACATGTTATACAGCAAAGTTATAAAACTTGTTAGAAAAACAGAAAGAAAAATGTTGTATAACATGATGTTACATAACATTTTTCGTGTTATATAGCATGTTATCCATCTATAGTGACACCATCATTAATAATGAAACGCGAAATGTTATACAAACTTGTTACAGACTTGTCTGAAAAATATAGTCTTGTAATGTTATAAATACATGTTGTATAGCAAGGTTATACAACAATTTGTTGTATAACACTGTTTTGTTATATAGTGTAGACGCTGCTTTAGAATGAGGGTGGCGGGAAGCGAGCATAGCGAACGTGACGTCTAACAGTGGCGCATGCGCGGTTGTGCGCCTTCCTCTACCGCGGACAACCCCCATCAACACATTAGTTTATGTGAACTAAGTTTATTGGGCAATGGAAGAACTCGAAGGACCTACAGAAATAGTTTCCTCCGGGCTCACGTGGCTACAATTATCCACAACTATCCTTAGAGTCTACCTTCGATTGAAGCCAAGGACTTCCAGGCGTTCGCGGTTACGGCATCGAAGCTTCGAAAATTAACGTAGGAAAAACTATAAATACTCCTAAGAACCTCCCGACTTCGTGAGTGAAAAACGCCTTACGCAATAAACTTTCTACCAAGCCTAAACAATTTATTATTTCGCACGATCAAAATGTTTAATTTGTGCCCATATAAGTTCTATTGGATTAAAATGTAAATGACACCCCAGACGAGGTGTAGGTGTAGGTGTAGACCTAACATCCAATGTATTTTTGTGGTTCACTTTTGTGAGGCGTCGACGACCCATTATTGAACATTTTAATGTCAACTTACCTACCGTTTCCATAACGTACAGACTCAGACGAGATATAAGAATTCTCTTAATCGTCTGTGGTAGAGATCCCTAAAGTCACAAGTTTTTCGAGGTGTCGGTATAACAGATTCGGTCGCAAAGTCCCGTAATCTCACATGTCTACTTCTATACCCCGTTGGCGATGATGCGACTGAAGTCGTATGATCTCATGACCATGTCGTTGGACTAACTCATCGATTCCGTATTTGGTAAAACACGACTGGTGTTCGTGACCAAGGTTTAATAATAAAGAAACCACTCATATTCATTAACATGTCTACCCCAATGTAAGGACGATATTATTATTGTAAGATCAATAATAATTAGAGATTTTCTCAATTTACCGGTTTATTTTCCGGGAACAATAGCCCTTTACTGATCAGTCCAACGACGTGTAATGCATCAGTCATTGTTGATAATGTAAAACATACAGGCTTGTTGTAACTGAACCTGTAGCAGAAAGATTATCTACAACTTTGCCGGTCGAATTCTTGCTACGACCGAGTTTAGTATCAAATGGTACAGAATAACCCATTTGAACGGGCTTGTATTACAAACTTTGTAACCTATGCTACGCAATACGCTAGAACGGAAAATAGTTGCCGCAAAATATTAATATTTCTTAACAATTTTTATCTTAAAAAATTGCTCCCGATTTACCCTCTCGGAATCTAAAATTGCTCGTATTGCAAATATTATATTTAGTGAGATATTCACAAATAAAAAAAAAACAAATTTGTTATCTGCAAAATAGATAGTCAATGATCTTTTTACAAAAAAATTAAGGTACCAACAAATTGCTCCTGACCTGTTTTATAATATTCCATGGTCAGATATCTTAATAACAACTTATTAACAAGGATCAATTTAAATAATGTTGTTGCATACATATTAGGTAGGCTGTTACAAGCTAGGGCTAAGCGGCTGCGAAAGCAGAGGAATGCAGAGTTTGGTTTTTTGAGTTTGTCATGTGGACGAACTTGTGCCTATTACATCACAGGGATCTACTAAGATTGTGAATATGGGCCTACTTCAAGTGATAAAACTGTGCCTTTGTGAGTTCGCTTCTAGCTGAGAATTTAGATATTATTCTAGAGTTGGAATGAACAAAGCTGAATTATAAATATATAAATGTATATAAAGAATATTCAAGAAAGTAAAGGTTTTACAAATGTTAATTAAGTTGTGGTCGCGGAAGCTACTTCCAACATTCTCGGTTTTCACACACTGAGAAATACGGGGGCCTGTTGTACAGAGTTTAACTTACTTATTAAAATACTTGAAAGGGACCGTACTTCTTCTTTTTTTTTTCCGGGGGGAAAACCTTGAAAAGGCGATACCGTCTCCGCTGGGGGCGAAGACGGCCTGTGCGGGATTTCACCACGCTAAAAACCCCCCGGTGACCCTCAGACAGAGGGCTGGTCGCGGGATCACTCGGTATAACCGCGACCAGCCCTGCCCATTGCCCTCCCCTACAGGTGTTAAGGGGCGGGCTCTTCTCTGGGGGGGGGGGTTGTATCGGTTGCTTCCCCCCAAACGGTGCGGCTGCACGTGCTGACCCTCCGCCACCTACCTACAGCGCCGAGGGGTCACCTCTCGACACTGTCTTCTCGTGGGCCGACCGCGAAAAGAGGTGGTACCCCCAGTACCACCTCCTCGGCCCGGTTGCCCCGCGGGCGACGTGAGGGTCATCGCGGCTGTGACCTTATGAATCGCACCGCCCAATGAGAAAAAATAACTAATAACTGCGATAAGGACTAAGATATACGTACATAAATAGATGAATACACCAAATGGTAAAAATATTTTCGTTTGTACGCATCCCAAAATGAAACACAACTACATACAATTAATTGAGAACGAAACAATATATAAACCTGCTTAGAACTAATTGTTTGCGATTATAATTATTACACTTGTTTTTGCAATGTTTAATTTGCAAGGCAATAATGACACACCGGTGACTCGAACGTATAACATTTGGTAATCCTCCGAATTATTCTTTTTCTTTCTTTGTACTTTTCCGTCT